ATACCAGTGGTTCATGTGGACATTGTTATCATAATTCCAACAGTAATGTTAATCTAGGAATCACGATCCATTTAGATAGACAATTAACAAGGTCGTTACTCCGCTATTGTCGTCTTAATATACGCCAAGTACAAACCAGTCATTAAATGAACCCTTGGTTAAGACTGGGTTCCATATTAGGTTTCCCTGGGATCAAATGTCTGCGTAAATAAGGGCAAAACACCGATTAGGATTGTTAAGAACTTTTAGGATCTACGCCAAAATGGCAAAAGGCATATTTTGTGTTTCTTAATCTTTGCAGAAATGTTATAAAAAAATGAATCATTATGTAGCTTCCAATAATAAAGTAAATGGTAAACAACAACTTATTTACGCTAATAAACAGTAACCTTTCCTTTTTTTTGCCAAAAACACGTAATAAATTGATATTTGCTATCAGAGTTGCATAACTTGCACTCGGTTTCACCTTAGTATGGACACCATGCATACAATACGTCAGCATTCGGTACATCGTATAACAGTAGGCAGGTACATAAATAAGCGTGAAAAGGAATGAGTCAACAAATTAATTTTTCACTATATAACTGCATTATTATGCAACTGTATGATGTAACCACAGATAGGACAAATAAAATGCATTGTCGCATTTGCAATGACGTCAATGTCAGTTTGGTTTACGGCAGGATGTGTGTATTTGAAGTGTTTCAATTGGTAACAGGAACGTAGACTTTAGACAATGACATTTTAATTGTACGTGTAATTTAGTGGTCATTATGATTATGACCTAGAAAATTAGACGATATTCCTTTTATATCGTCTTTGTTATGATATAGATTATTGTCAAGAGGTTAGTTTTTAAATTTTCACGATTGTTACATTGGAAATGAAACTATTTTTTTAGGATCTGGAACCCGATTCAGAACTCTTCGATATCTTAACCGAATCGTTTGATTGGATATCGTTCTACAATCGAAGGGTGCTTCCCGAGCTATTCAGAACATTCGATTCGGATATGATGTCGTTACCAACAACGTTTACGGTGTTAGTCGGCGAATAGAGATTATAAGAAAAATGTAATACTTTTATACATTTTTAAGGCTTTAAAGGCCTAAAATATAGGAATGCATTAGTCTCGCATTAAACTAAATTAATAAAATTGAACACAATCCAGATTTTATTTAAAATAATAAAAGATTTCCATATTTACATTCTTGCTTTGTAAACAATAGGACGTTCAGTAACTTTCATTCGATAACTGTGTTCAGAATAAGCTTGTGGCTTTTGCCGGTCGAGAAGTACGAGTAATCGTACGGGTGTGACGTCAATTCGGTTCGGTTTCGAATAATATATAATAATAATTAGCAGTCTGACGTTCGATTCGGTTATTGTGAATAAAAATTAAAAGAAATCGTACGATATCTAATCGAATCGGTCGACAAGAGAGTTATCGTAAGGTTCTGAATCGACCTGCTGAATCGCGTATTATTTGTTTTTTTTTTCCAACAATCCAACATTTCGGGCTCTACAGTACCATCTTGGTTTCGGCTGAATTTATTTTAACTCGTTTGAAAAAAAAAAAACACGCGATTTATGGCGATTTAGATCCGAGAAATTAAAGTGTAAATAATGTTTCCTGCTTTATGCGCTAAATCAAATTTTAAAGTTAAAGTTATAGCGTAAATATTTATGTACTGTAATAGTAATAACTAATAGCACGAAAGATATTAGTGTTGCAATGTAAATTTTAAGAGTTATTAGGCCACAAAGTTTACACGATCGATAACTTTTCTTACGATCGGAAATATAAATAAACATAGGTGTTTGTTTTAAGATCGTCGATGATTTAGGTTGGCAATACATTTTTGACGGCTTAGTAAACCATATTTTTTAAAATTTTGATAAACACTTTCGAAAACATTAGTAGATACTAGATTTACGATAAAAATGGTGGTTAATCCTTTGAATTATACAAGGTTACACAACTATTTCATAGGAAAATATAGTCTTAAGATTTTTGCTCAGATAATTTCGTTAATAGCTTCTCTTTGCATGTAAATAATAACAGCACCAAAGAAAGTTTGCTTTTCTTCCTGCTATACTAAGTTACAACAAAAAAAAAACCTATCATCAATCACATGGGATCAACATAAAAACTGCCAAACTGTACAAAATAAAAACTACAAAACTTTTTTCTGGAAAAAAAAGGGTCTTTTCTGGAGGTGTCCTTTAGGAACAGCAGGTAAAAATTCCACCCTAACAGATGTTGCAAAGTGGTATACAAAACCAAGAACTTTGTTGATAAACAATGAAAGATGTGTTCACATTCATTTTTGACTGTTAAATTTCAAATAAGCCAATCCTCTATAGTCTAGCAAATTTATACTGGCTACAGTAGGATGTAGGATGACTGTTTCAATAATATGTTCTTGTGTGATACAAGAAATTCTAATATTACTAATATCATGTTAGATAGGTACATTACATCACAGAGCTTGACACATCATGTAATAAAAATATTAAACATAACATAGTTACAATCATTATGAAATATTAATAAGCTTCTCTTTCATAATATTACCTGAATCATTCTCATAAAATGATACCATATTGGAGGCACAATTGTAATTAAGACAATGGGTGTTATTGATTGACATTTGCAGGCAGTATCTGTTTATAAATAAATGAAATCACATTGTCTTTTCTATAAACAGCGGCCTCAGTACTCTTTTAGTTTTTATAACACATGACAAATAAACACGCGAGCTTAATCAGCAAAAATAAACTTGTGTGATATAAACATAACAAAAAAGGCAAAAAAGAAGGTAAAATGTCATCACTGTTAGCGGGCACTTTGCCCAAAATAATTCTTCTACAAATTCTTTAATAACATTTGTATTGCACAAAATGTGTAAAATATCATTTCTATGCATCAGCAATATGCACCTCATTACCAGCATAACTAAATATCTAATTAATTGTTTAATTATCTAATTAATACCTTAATGTACCCATAAAAAGTATATAAAAAATACGCAAAAAGTTTTAAACAAAGATAAAATTATATTTGGAAAAGGAAATAAGGGTAAGCAATATTCTACTTAATAATATATCTTATACGAGGCATAAATACAAAAATGCAAAGTTTTGTCTAGTTGCATCCAGGTAATTGCATGTTACTACAATGATTACACATAATTGCACAACATGAAGTAAGCTTATAAAATAAAAAAGTATTTAAGAATAAAAACTTTCTACCTCGCGACAAATAAAATATTATTCACGCAAAGACGGTGGCAGATAACGCGAAGTTATAATGACCTGATTCGTGACCTTTTACCATCCACCCACATCATAGACAACAGCTAATTTTCTCTGAGTCACCGTTGAATTTATTGAGCACTATCGCCATATCGCCCGCAACCATGGTCAGATTTTGAACAATGTGCATTAAAACCGACCATGCATGAAAATGTGACCAGGCGCAAGTAACTTACTTACGAGCGACACCAGTGTTCAGCGAGACACGCTCAAACAGCGCGTAGTTAGCGAATTGTTTATAAAATACAGGCCCATTTATAAAACAACACTGACTTGTGGGAGGAAAACGTGAATTTCGATGTAAAACGGTACGTCATGACGCTCGGTGACGTTAATTGTGGGGCACAACCTTTGCACAGCGATAACGGATATATTATCAATAATATAACTATAATTATTTGATAAATACCACCTACCTCCACAGCCATACACATTGAAAGGAAATTGAACGGATGCAGCCGTGAGCAGCCAAGAGAAAATTACCGCACACGCAAGAAACGCGTGCTCCGCACAAGAAATTCACGAAACTGAGGTAGTGTTGCCAATGTTGAAAAATAAAACGTATTTTTAATATTGCCGTTTTACATTTTGAAAATGTACTAATAAATCCTACCATATCATTGTATATGGCAAGGTTTATCTCTCTTTGTCTTGCATGCTCGACATAAATGAAAAGTAATTTTATTATTATTTATTACATGGAGTATAACAAAGTAACATTGGTGTTACTACTGTATTATGATACTACTTCATTATTATTGTTCAATATAAAAATACGTTTCGTGCTATGCAGCGACTATAATATACTATGCTATCCTGGCGGAGTAGATAGTGCGTCTAGCATTTTGCCGTGAAGAATAGATGATTTTTTCGCCTTAATTCGTAAAGTATTTTGTTATACATTGGTATTTTCTTTTCATAAGAGAGTGAGCGAATCGATCGTATCTTTCTAATTTGTGAATCGACCAATATTATTGTGATAACATTATGCAACAACACAACTCTTCGCATTATGCGCTCAGTTTGTAAAATATAATAAATTACTTTTTTATTTTACTTTAATTCAATTTAATTTATATAAAAAAGTAATTTAATGTAATTCTTAACAATTTTTTTTTGAAAAATGCCATGCAATGTAATGTTAAATTATATATAAATAATAATAAAGAATCATTTCATTTTATTTATTTATTACTGGTATGAATATTTAAATTATTTGACATCACATTCGTTGCACCAATCCGAAAGTAACTAAAGCAGTCTTGTGTTATGGAAATCGGATACAACGACGATTCATTGGATGGAATATTAAAAACATCCGTAACATAAACGTAACGACTCCTCGATGCAGTTTTCCTTTCAGTATACATGTTATAAAGCTCTAAGCAGTTTTCCGGCTTCGAAGTGAATACGTACCTATGCGACCAAACTAAGGCAAAAATTTGACAAGTACTGCGACATATTATTATATTATAACATGCTTGTAACATGCAACAAAATTAAACAAATTATTTAAACAAAACACGTTTATTGTGTTACTTGTTCCCCATACAATAACTAAAATTCCATCAAGGACAACTTATAAGATATTCGTTATTAACCTTCTAGTAACTACCATAATGTCTCCTTATAATTGAGTTGTGAAAAACAATTTATGTTAAAATAACCGAGCTTCTGAAAGGTCGCCTTTGTGGAAAACAATAATAAACATGATAGCTTGAGATTAATACACAATTGTTTTACATAAGGTGACAAACCTATGCAAACATTGGAATTCTAGCCTTAATGTCTTATAAAATGAATCAAAATATATGACCATCGACAATGAATGTACACACACCATGGTGAAGACATTCTGTTTTAGCCTTTACCTATTTTCGTGAACCATATTTTGTTGTCTACGCAGTTATAATAGACACCCACCCTATATGTATACGTCGCGGTCGTAATAAATAATCTACATGAACATATTGTCATTGAAACCAGGTGGTGGTAAGTGATCTGCATCTGGAGCCCCAGGTCTTCTTCCAACTGGAGGGCCTGCAGGAGGGGCAAATGGGTCGAAGCGGGCTCCAGGAGGAACTGCACCTCTGTGGGCAAACAATAAAATAAATCTGCAGAAATATCCAACAAACAGCTGGTCTCAAACAAAGCATTATAACTGACTGTAAGTTGTGATAAACAGCGCTACACTAATCCCAGATTTGTACTGATCTGACAAAATCCCTTGTTTCATTTAAGAATGTTGAAAAATTTTAAAACAGTATCATATTTTATAATGCAAAATTAGAATTTCTTACCTGGGTAATCCGCCAGGAATACCAAGGCCTGGGTTTTCGATGTCTCTGCGTGGTCCGAAGGGGTTGAAGATCATACCGCCTCCAGGAGGCGCGAAAGGATCCAAGTCTGACCTGCCGATACTTGGTAAATGTGCTGGTGGTAGTTCCCTGAAAAAAAAATTCTTTTGACTTGTTATACAAGTTTAAAGGGTCCTCAAAGACCAACCAAGCAAAATTGTATAAGTTACTTCTAGATAAAGCTGGATTAAAGCAATCTGAAAAAAAAAAGACGCTCGACCAATTCTTGTATTTATTTCGAATATACACCTAGTTGAATATTAATTCGTTGTCATATCATAATCTTTTGGCTAAGAGAAAACAACCAAACTTGACTATAAAGAACACACAATAATGTGATGTTTTATGTAACATAGCAAATTTGCAGCCTCTTATGGTGCCCTTCAATCTTCTTTTAATATTAAAAAAGTACAACGTCATCTTAACATAAACATGTCAAAGCAGTTATTTGGTGTCTGCAATAATTCCATTTAACAATCCAATCCAAATAATATAATAAATAACAATCCAATTAATTACATTGTGGCACATAGTTTAATATATATGATCTTGGCAAATCATACCTAGTTTGCCACTTTTAGAGGTGGCATATTTTCTGTTAAATTCAAACGGGACCAATACTGAGGTATCTCCTCTTTCTAAGAAAAAAGAATCATCAAAATCGGTTCACAAATAACATACATTAAAAAAAATAGTCGAATTGAGAATCTCCTCCTTTTTTAAAGTCGGTTAATAATATAAAATGTGGAAGGATATGGAATTCAGATCAAATAAAATAAGTATAATTTGGCCGCTAGATTTGTCGCCGCATAAATGTTCCCTCTTACATAAATCTAGGCCTGGCTGTGGATTCTCGCCATTTTAAACAGCTAATTCAACTACTGGCATCACATAGATTAATGAGTATTAACACTAACATTTCTGGGTCCAAGAGTTGCCAGCCTTTAGTTACTTATCTCCTGAGGTCTCTTAGCTGCCTAATCTGTGTCTAAATAATTATATAATTTTGAGGAAAATCGTACCTAATAAATGACGGATGAGGATTTCATACATTTTTACATGTACCTGCAAAAATAGTATGCATTATTTGATATATGAATTGTTTGTTGTACGATTTTCCTTTAAAATTTACAACATTATAAATTAAATTTGTATATTAATTTGTCATTTTTTTGAAAAAGACTTTTGATTAATCTTATTCAACGCATTTGAGCCACATGCCCCACCCGCACACCCTGTGAACCCTGAAAAGATAATTTACCCCAATAATGTGATTTCACATAGTAGCAACAATATGGACATAACATTTCTTACCATAGGTCTGAAGTGTCAGGGTTTACGCTAGGCAAAGGTCTAGCTGGCACTCGGAGTGGATCATCTGCAAGTGATGAACTTGTTGCTGCAAAAATATTTTTACTTTATGTAAATATAGATATCTGCAATGGCTAAATTTGCTTTCATGTTACAAAATTGTATAGTTGAGATTAACATATTGTATAAGTTTTAATATTATTATACAAAGTGTTATATAATACATACGTCTCGAAGTTTGCGTTTCAGATGTGTTGACTGCGCGCTCAGTAACACTGTCTACCAAGTCTCGTTTAATACTGAACATAATGTCTTTGTGGGTAGGTATCATATTCTCAATAGGTCCACTCAGATCTTTGACTGCCTCTTCGACTTTCAGAGCTATGTTGGAAACTGCCAGGTCCTCAGACTTCTGTAATAATCCCAAAATAATATGATTCACTATGGGTTTTAAAACAATCTGTAGATTCTATATGCTTCTTCTTTCTGTTTTAGGTATTTCTTTTATTGGATGATATTGAAAAACAGTTGTAGTTGTTAAATTTGTGGATTTTGTCTATATCATTTGAATTTTCATTTGTTAATATGGTATGAGTTTAATTAATTTTAAGAGTTCCTTTTCTTTTTAGTTTCAGATCCATTTTAATATGTTAAAAAAAGTTGCACTACAAGGTAGTCTACTTTTCTCAGACATGTCTAACATAGTCATTATTTTGTACCTAATCACACATTCACATTAAAAAATTTGGAAATATGCATGTTAAGATAATATTATAAAGATCAAAATATAAACATAAATATAAACATAATATTTTGGCAGTTGAAAGCTGTTCAAGATTCAGAAGAGTCTATGGTTTATTAAAAAAAAATTTTAATTTTAAACAGAAAAGTATCATCAAAAACACACCAATGTGAAGTAACTTTAAACCACTTTCGTAAGTACTGCTAAACTCAATTCATGCACAAAGCAAACTAACCAGAAATTTTCATATTTTAAAATAAGTGTAAATATTACCATGAGATTGATGATAAGGTTCCCATTTGTGCTAAGTCCATGTAGAATAAACAACTTGTTATCCAGCACATAACGTAGTGTATAGTTTTCATTGTCGTTCCAGCCTGTTGGCAGCAATTCACTCCTTGTTTCATCTCCTGATAGTGTACGCTAAAAATGTATGACATACATTTTGCATAATAGGTTTTGTAATTTAAGCTAGACATACACTTGGCCCAATCTCATGTGATATTATTAAATGATACTGGTACACATTTGTTGAAAAAGTGCTTATTTACTAGAGTTGCAATGAATATTCAATTATTCTTTGGTTATCGGCTTATTGGGCTTATTGCTATTCACTGTAATACTGATTACTGAATTACTATTTGGCTGTATACTGCATACCTAAAAACAGGAGGAAAAAAAAATACTGACAATAATCATGTAACTTTTATTAATGCTGAACAAACACTGTAAGTTTGTAGAACTGCAATTTTCCACTTTTTTTATCTAAAAGATGAAAGGAAATGTAACTTAGTTAAAGAGCTCAAAGCATAGCATATCAAATTAAAACGACCTATACAATATGTATTTACTAATGACTAAATAAATGCGAACAAAATCAGCCAAGTACTTAATATTTGCAAGCAAAAAATACTTAGGGCTCACTATAAGTTTCAGGACTAGCCACTTTCACAAATAAAATTTTAAAAAGTAATTATAACATTTGAAAATGGAACTCTTTGGCTGTAGAATACAGTTTGCTTCATCTGACTGTCACTTGTTTTTACATTGTGGCATCATTTTAGAAATTGGTTGTCTACATCATCAGGGATTTAACTCGTAAAAATTTTCGTAGTATGATTTCCTGACTTTAAGCGTAAATTAACAGCTTAGCGGAGCTTCAGTCAGCTTCAAAGTGCTTTTGGCGATGAAACACCATGCAAGACGACTATTTATAGCTGATATACAGAATTCAAACGTGGTCATGTGAGTCTCAGTGACGAATTTCGTGATGATCGCCCGTCCACTGCTGTGAACAACAAAAACATCGATGCTGTGTGCTGTATGATCAAAACAGACAAGCATGTGACATACCATGAGATTTGGGCATCTTTAGGCATAGGCATGAGTCAAGTACAATCAATGTATCAAATCAATGTTTGTGTAGACATTTGGGTGTGAAAAAGCTGTGCTCTTGGTGGTCCCACGTCGTCCCAATTCGACTGATGCTCAAAAAACGGATCGCGTCACTTGGTCCAATGCCATGCTTACCAGATTGAACGAAGGGGCGTCAACTTTGGTGTGGGACATAGTAACAGGTGACGAAACATGGATTTATAGTTACAATCCCAAAACAAAGCAGCAATTGAGCATATGGGTCTTTCGAGATGAGATTTTTACAAACTCTGTAAAAATAACCGTAAACGGCGTATCTTGTTGCACCATGATAATGCCAGTTCTCACACGGCCAGACAGACAAATGAATTTTTGAAGGTGTACATGTTGACCTTATGAGTCATCACGCGTACAGTCCCGACCTCGCACCTTGTAACTTTTATTTATTTCCAAAAATTAAGAACCACTTACGCGGTCCATGATTTTCATCACCTGAAGTGGCTGTCGAACAGTATGAAAAATATGTTTCAGAGATTGTCATGGAGGAGTGGCATTAATGTTTTCAAAATTGGTTCCTTAATGTGTGAAAAAGTGCATTAACGCTAATGGAGAAACATTAAATTCATTTCTGACCATTTCTAGTATTTTTTTCTTATTCATTCCGGAAACTGACAGTGCGCCCCACATAATGTAAAATTACTTTCTTCAATTGAAATTAAACTTTTTTGTTTTATTGTATAAAATTATACTGTAGTGAAATAACAAGTGGTATTTTTTGTGTCAATTTTCCTACATGCAATAATCAGGCAAAAATTTTGCCTGATTATTGCAAATACATTTGCCTGCCAGAATATTATTCAATATTAGCCTAGAGGCAGAATATACTACTAATTTCCAACACTACCATTTAATCTACCCATATGCCTTATATTTAAACCTTACCCTGCTTCTAAGGTTCCAAGACATAGGAAGTCAGGAGGCAAAATGAAGATGGGAAAGAGATATTGTGAGGTGTGGTAATGACAGATGTACCAAAGGGGCAACCAAAAGGTTAAAAAATATGGGAAACCTGTAGTGAGGTGCATAGACAACACCAACAGTCACGGGTTGTATATGAGTGAGATTAATGCAAAGTTATGGATTGCAGAAACTATGCAGCAGTTACATATTAGTATACTTTTTATGACAGGTAGTTTTAGTTTGGCACCATGGATTTGGTAAATATAATTCTATATACTTAGGATTAAGTATGTTTACCGGTGTGAAGTAAACAAAGTACAACATTTTGGATAACCTTCGCTTTTCCAGAATTGACTTCGCAGTAAAACTCAGTGAAATACTAAATCAACAAATGAAATACTCACCTCGTCTCCAACACCGATGCTCCGGAAACCTCTCTTCATTAAGTTCCAATGAATAAATGCAACGAGAACATCAGACTTTCGTTTTATGTCTTTCTCAACAGTCCTGAAAGTTAGGTCCCAACCAAACATTGGATCATTAGACATTTTAGCTTTGACGAGATAAATATGTACAATATTAAACAAAAGATAACTTTGAAAGGGAAAAGTGATATTCGGAAATTACGAAAATATGAGAAAACGCGACGAAAATATTTTGTAATTTTGATTTGTCATCTGTCAAAATTGCGTTTTTTTCTTCATTCCCAACGGAATCGGCGAAGGTCAGAGACCAAACTGCCTATTTCAGAGTTCTTGTAGGAACAATTTACTCAATTCCTTTTAAAAAACTGTTGAGCACTTAGCACATAGAAAGCAAGTTATTTTAGTACCAACTTACAAATGATATGAATGATATTTCTGTTATAAGAACAGCGTGTATCGCGTTCGATATTATTATTTATGCACTATGCGACATAAAATTTTTACAATGGATGTAATGGAATTAGCGATGGCGAGTTAAATAACTCAAATTACTCCCACTCGAGCTACTTTTTTATGAATTCGAGCTAGTTCGGTACGGTACTCTCCCGACCGCGCGCCGAACCGAGTACTTCATTCATACAGCGCACTTGCTCGTTCATTCGTTCTCATTCGGTCAGTTATGCGACACTCGTACCGCGCTCGAATCACGGTCAGCCGTCCGATCATGCCCAACTCGGTGAATCGTTCGGTTCGAGTTCATAATACGAATATACGCCGCATCGGTATAGGACCTAGGACCATAGATATAGGAAAGTGGCGACATCGGTACCCGATCCTTTTTATTTCTTTTCATCCTCTAAGCCGATCCTACATAGCGTCATTACATATCTTCCCTTTTTTTCTATATCTATGCTTGCGACTTTCGACTCGCGATAGCTCTGTCAGATACCAAGTCGAGTCACTCGAGCTGCAAAAATCGCGTCAAGCAATCACGTTAACTCGAATTGAAAAAATTACAACTCGTTCCATCGCTAAGTGGAATTAGCTACAGCAAAGTATGTGCTAAATACTAAATCTATGCTAAAAATTTTATTATTCAAGTTACACATTGTTTACATTTTATTTTACAGAATATGCTGCGTAGAACTGACCAAAACACCAAAATACAAAATGACCATAAACAAATATTCTTGCTGAAATTGCTCAAATTAATTGATATTGTTCAATTAAATTCAATGTTCAACGAGTAATAAAAACGTTACGCTATTCCTCAATCATACCATTTTCATGAAATAGACAACAGTCAAAAATCATTAATTAGACAAAGGGAATGAGAATTTATCAAATTTAATTACATTCAAGATTTATTGGTCTTGTTCATGTCCCGCAACATGTTCATAAAGTTTACAAGTCACTTGATATTATATGGAAGCCTAGAATTATGACAATTTTATATTGATTCAGGGACTACCTCCAGCGTCATTGGCATGCCTGCCTAAGTATTATCATTTGATTTATTTGTTTTTAGTAGGCATCACGTAATGTTTTTTTATTTATTCTTTTTTTTTATGATACCAGGTGGCGGGACGAACAAGTCGTGCGCCTGGTGGTAAGCAACATACTGTTTATGCCAGGTAAACACTTCGATTCAGTTATAGCTTTACTTATTGTCGTCTTCAAATTTGTGAACACAACAAAAACGAAAACACGACTAATATAAACGATATTCAAGCACGGCTCTCGCTGGCAAGGACTGACACTGGTTACTGTAACCGTCACTACAATAATAGGTAGTTATTTTTGATACAAGTGCAGAAAGTTAGTCATTATTCACGAATCTCGAGGCTTGGTTCAAGACTCGAGACAAGTGAAAATTACAAATCCGCACGTGTATCAAACGACCGATTACGACAAACGAACGTGTTTTAATACATTTGCGAAAAAACTACGTTGAAAGTAAAATAAAACAGCATTAAAAAAAACTCATTTTATTTCTTTGTCTGATAAAAATTCAGAGTACAATGGCAACTGTTGCCAGTATTCAGCCACATTAAAAGTAGTATTTTAGTGGCGCGGCGCGCAGCGGTCTCGCGTAATACTTACCTCTGGTCTTTGTTAATACTTAATCAGCCATCTATAGGGAAAATATTCTGGTATTTTTAAATGTAACCCGTTGTAAAACACCTATGCAATTTAAAGAAATAAGATGTTTGTAACTAAATATAAGTTTTAATGACGAATGACTTACGTCACAAAGCACATAAATATTAAATAAATATACAACTTCTTTAGTTCTATTAAGACTTGAAACAACAATAAATTAAAAAAAAATGGAGATGTAAACAGCACTCTCTTGCGAACCATTTCAATTATCGCATGAAATAAAAACATTTTTATGGTAACATAAGATTAGGGCTTTCTTAAAATTAATCGATGAAACATATCCGAAAATATTTCAAGAGTTCAAACTAAGCAATTGTACATTAGCAATGTTATAATAGATTATTTTTGTTACTGAAAACAGACATGAAAAGTGTGTTAGACCTAAATATTTCTGAAGAACAAATATTCGGTTGATATTCAGATTTTATCGACTTTCGGTTTTGGTTTTTGGAAGCACTATTCAGCTGGAAAAACAACATGGCGGGCAGTGTCAATTCAGGAACGTCGTGTTTCTAACGTAAAACAATGTATTTTGTTGTTTTAGAATATGGGTGAATATGTGCAATAATTTGTTATACTCTAATGTGCATAGTGTTGTGTTTTGATTATTTCTGTGTAATTTAAATGTGAAAATGGCCTCGGATAAGATAAAAGTAGCCGTTCGGGTTCGTCCTTTTAGTAGGCGAGGTAAGCTGGTTTCAATCATTTATTATAAAGAAATTTGCTATCTTATGGGTGATTACGTGTGAAAAAATTTATCTACGCCCTGTACTTGAGTATTGATAACGCCAATTATTGTTTCAAAGACTTTATTTCGTGTAAATGCAATGCATTACGCGCCAAACTCTTGAAATATAGTTTGTTGTCGATTTTTATAGTATTTCCTGAACAATTTTGCATAATTTCATACAGATAATTTATTCTTCTGTAACGTTGTGTATTTCTTATTTAATTTCCTTGTTTAAAAAATCTATAATACCGTTGTGTTTATTTACGATATAAATCAATAATGTTAAGCAAACCTGTTATTCTTTAACTTTTATTAATATGGTTAAAGACATGGTAAAATATTACGTTCTTAATAATTGCAATTGGAGCCGAGACACTGTTTGCAATATGATCATAATTAATTTTGTTATCATTTGAATGTGACACTGAAGATTCAATGTAGTGATTTATTACATTTTATTTTCCTTTCTTTATAGATCTGTTTTTATAAGTTAATAATCATTAAATTATGCATGTCTTTGTGTAATGAACCTGAATAATTTTTTTATGGGCCTACTACGAAATCTGAAATTTCTATGAAATTTACATAAGTTGTCTGTATTTGGTTTTTAGGTTAACACTCAAAATAATATTATTATTAAATACATTCTAAGACTGTATTTAATAAATATTTTACTGGATGAATGTAAACTGAATTATGAATTATTGTTATGTAAACATTCACATAATATTTTAAAATTATTTCCCTTTGCATGGTATTATTTTAAACAATGTGGATACTGCAATACGGAATAACAATTACTATTTATGTTAAAATATTATAAAGTGTTGTGTGAAATTAATATTTATCTTTGTAAAACAATAAATGGAATACTACAAGTGACTTGCGGCAAGATAACGAAGGCAGTCTGTTCAAAATTGTATTCATAATTTGAATATACATTGTGTGTAGTGTCATTTCAGGTAGATAAATCAAGAAAATGATTTAGTCTTGAGCTGCTATCACTTTGCACCTGTTTCAACACAGAAATCAATACCAACATAATAATTTGTTCTGATAAAATACTATTTTTGGGCTATGATTACATGATACTCAGCCTCAAATTGATATGACCTTGTGGTACACATGAATGAAATACAATGACCATAGTCAATCTAAAAGAGGTTTGTATTTTTTCTCACATGGCCAACCTATTTAATGAAATTTATTACATTTTTATGTAAAACATTTACTTACTTGTGTACCATATGCACCATGCTCTTTGAACAATAGATTTTTTTTGTTAAATATTTTTCGTTAACTTAATGTTTGCCAATTTCTTCCCTTTTTTATATATTTTCAAAGGTAGATAGGTCTATTCTTATGGCCACATTTGCACAATTAATGTTAAAAAATCAAGGGTTGATATTTATCATCTCGACACGTAGCAATAATACTTATTAAAACTGTGATTAAATTTATAATAAAATGGCTGCCCACACTCTGTAAATTTTTACGAGTAACTAACACTCATACTTCTTGTAGAAAACACTAGAAAGTCTTTCAATAACATTAGAATCATTTGTACCTTATCTGTTGTTGAATATTCCTTAATTTTTTCTTAGTAGACTTGTCATGTCTTCATAACTCTCAGAGTTAAAACAAGTCTTATTGACCCTCGGACATCAAACAAAAATGTCGCCGACCCCTTAATAAAAAAACAATAATAAAACATCAGATTTTACGAACGAATCCGTTTTTTTCCACAGACCCCAGGTTACTGAATGCATAATTAGCCTATACAATTCCAGACGTTATTAAAAAAACTCTAGTAGAAATTTGCATTTCAGATATTTGATGCACATTTAATATTGCGAGTTTGTTTTGACTAGCCATGTGAAGTCACATACTTTTATACGCGTCTGATTACGGTGAGCAACATATTAATCGACAAGTAAAAGGCAACTCAGCAAAAAAGACAATAAAGAAAAGAATTTCAAAAGATCGAGTTCACGATGTGCCAATAATATTTATTTTTCAACAAAAATACAGCACGTTCACTGCATTCGTCATGGTAAATAAACTTGTGGACGTTCCGCCCGCGGTTGCTCCACTTTCTGCAATGTCTTTACGTAATTTTTTAAATCGATTCTAGCATTATGTACAGTCACAATTCAAATACATAGAGCGTAACGATCATGCGCCTTAATTCGTCGTACAATATTTGACTTCCATCGTCTTATCTTTGCATTGACTGCATAAGATATCGTCAGGTAATCGTCAATTGTTTTACACCTTTTATTACCTTTTCTATATTGTTACATAAAATTTTATTTATGTAAAATTGTTGTTGGCTGCTAACTTAAGCAACCATAGAAATTACTAAAAGTAATAATATGGCATGATTCGATCTAATATAAAAATTTAAATAGTTCACGTCTTGATATGAGTAATATCAGTGTCAGGGCCGAAATATCGACTCGTGTATCGTATTCATGTAGTGAATTACATTGAACAAATTGTACAGCATATTTGGTACGGTACAGTAGTTTCCAATGCATTATTTAGTATGAGGGAACTGTAATAATGTTTTTGAACATTTTGTTATTGGAACAAAAATAGTATTTATTAATGCAAAATACGTTGCCTGTCTCTTTTTGGATATCCTCTGTACAAAGTAAATATAGGTGGAATGTTTTTACTATATTGAAAAGTGACCTCCAGGGTTATAAGCAAATTATGGCTTTGGAAAACTAAGTATGAAAAATATGAAAAAAAAATCATACCAACCATTAAAGATTATTTTGCGTCAAAGTCGAGTCACTTCAGGGCGCGTTCCCATTATGTCGTAACGTTTTATTTATCGTTGGACGACTGTCGCGACTATAGCCCGTTCCCATATCACAACTATCTGTCGTGACTGTGGCTGTTCCCACTAGATCGTGACGACTATTTACCGGTTCACGGTAGAATCGTTTGAAGCTGCGATTATCTGTCATTCAATTTTTACGTTTATTTTTTTATTACACACAGTCAGTCGTCGTAACGTCAAAATAGTCGTGAACGACAGTTAACCGTAAGGTACTATATGTGAACAACTTTATTTCAATATGCAAGCCACGACACTTTAAACTGCACGACAATCTGTCGTCAGGACATAATGGAAACGCGCCCTTAGAATAACAGAAAAAACTATTTTACAAAAGCCTGAATCAACACATTTCCATGTGTTGTCCACCTAGGAGTTTTTTATAATTAGTTATTCAGTATTTATTACATTTTGAAGTGGGAACACGTTGAAACCGGATTTGAAGACCACGGACACGTCGGCATCAAGTTGATTCACCGGTTACTGTTACATAGAACGTGTATCTTACCTTTTGTGGTCATGAGATAGTTTCTCATGTGTTTTATGTATGTATAACTACCGCCTACAGTGTAAGGCCGTTGCAGTCACAAACAGTGACGACTATTATTTAGTGGAATTAAAAAGAGACGTAATTACATGCTCTGTATGTTCATAGTGTTGTTATGTTTCTAAGTTTCTAACATGTGACTTGGTAACCTATTTAATGTTGGCTGGTAAATCATCGGCATTATCATTAACTCATAAGCCTCGTCGCTGAGCTAGGAACTCCTTTATGAACAGGGCTTCTAGTATTCTTTTATTACGAATACGTACGAGAATATTTGTTGATCCGCTACCTAAGAGTTCTGCCTTCGTTGTCATAGCTTTTTTTAATAATACCAAGTGATGGGACGAACAAGTCGTGCGCCTGGTGGTAAGCGACTCGTCTGTCCATAACAGGGTCAGTGCCACTCAGTGTTTTTAAATCATAACGATCAAACAAAGAAGAAACACTGCCGCTGTACCCGTCACCCAGAGACATAAGTTGACAAGCCCATGTGCCTCTAATTTTAACTGCCTCCGTGGCCCTACGGTTACCGTGCCGGACTGCCACGCAGAGGTCCCAGGTTCGATTCCCGGGTCGGGTGAAATATTTGTATGGCTATTTGTGGTTGTCTATGTGTGTGTCCTTGGCACCCGCGACGCAGGGTTTCTCTAGTGTCCATAGTGTGGTAATCACCAGCTCCTTTACACTTCAAAACGGTAACACAGTAATGCTCACATTACTCTTTGGCAGCATAAATAGGTAAGGTGGCAGTACTTCCTTCGACAAACTCTTTCACAAGGTGCTTAACTACCACTAAAGCAATTTTATTACTAAAGCCATTGACTTACAATTATATGGACGTCGGGTCCGCGCTAAAAAGTGTCCGCACTTGTAAGGCGCTAAAATCGTATACAGAGCGCCAAACTCCGCTTTAGTCTTCATTTGTTCGACTGACAGCGCGATACTGCGATGACATTACAATTTAAATTTCGAATAGGTTGACTTGGGACATTTTTTTCGTGGTTTTTGTATTAGACCCGTCGTCCATTTATTTGTAAGTCAATGACTAAAGCATTTGCATTTCAGCCCAAAAAAAAATTTTTTTATCTAATAAATTTGTCAATTACGGTAACTTAACAATAAACCTGAAACTGAATAATATATATAAAAAGCGATTCGATTTCGTATCGTTGGTCCCAGACATGTTAAGAACTCAATTTTGCTGAAAATGTCGATTACGTTACTTATGATAAGGATATAGTTAGTTGTGACAAGGAGCATAGTTACTACTTAAACAGAAGGCTTTCAAGACCTCTCTTAATAAGCAGTTTCTACGCTCGGTATTACGCCCGTTTTGGCTGAAATGTCACTCAGAATTCGGAATAACATCTCCAGCTCTATTAATAGATTGTAATCATCAGCATCTCGAATAATACCGTCCATCTGACTGCAATTGATTGATCAGGATTCAATAACGATGTTTAGCCAAAGTTGCTAAGTGACGTTTATTAATATATGGATATTAGGTTACACTCTAATTATTAGAATATTGAAATTATATGAGACATGTAAAGAACCCGAAA